TCATTATCAAAAATCAGCCGAGATGAATGATTCTATGGGACTATGTAATCTTGGCACTTGTTATCAGTATGGAATTGGAGTTGAAAAGGACAATAATAAGGCATTCGAATATTATGAAAGATCAAGTTATATGTATATGTATTCATATAAAACCTACCAACTCTATGACTATCAAAAATTAGGCAGTGCAAGAGGAATGAGCTATTATGGATATTGTTTTGAAAAAGGAATTGGTGTTGCAAAACATGAACATATAGCACTTGAATATTATGAAAGGTCTGCTAATATAGGTTATGCTGATGGAATGATTCTAGTTGGTTACTGTTATGAAAATGGAATTTACGTTAAAGAGAATAAAAACAAGGCATTCTATAATTATCAAAGATCAGCTAATATGGGTTGTGCTGATGGAATGAGTCTAGTTGGTTATTGTTATCAATATGGAATTGGAGTTGAAAAGGATGAACATGAGGCATTCATTTATTATCAAAAATCTGCAGAGATTGGTAATAATGATGGAATGTACTGGCTTGGATATTGTTATCAATTTGGAATTGGAATTGGAAAAGATGAACACATGGCAACCATTTGTTATAAAAAAGCGGCCGATATGGCTCATAAAATTAGAACATATAAAATTAGCTATGGACATATAACAGTATTTAATGCGATTTGTTATAGGTCTTCTGATAATGGGCAATGTGCACAGTGTAATCAATACAACACATCCCCAGCTTGGTGCCAAACGTGTGATCCCCCCAAAACAACACGAGGATGGACAAGTGGAAATAATGTTATCGATGATTATATTAAGAAGTCTCAATTTAAAACTACACGTCATGATGAGGTTATTGAGTGGATTCCATTTAATAGATTTGAAAATCTACGAAAAATTAGTGAAGACCTAGAAACAAAATTTTTAGCAGTCTGGATAGATGGCATGCGATTAGCTTCTAAGTCTGGTGAACATTATATACAATCGCGTGTACCTCGATATACAGTTACGCTTATGGAACATTTTAATTTACAAAAAAATCCTGTTAATTTTTTAAATGAAGTAAGTTTAGTTAGCATATTAATTTATAATTTTAATAATATATTTAATGTAAAAATTATATCATATTTATTTCTAACTTGAAAAATATGTACAGTCAAGTAAATTATTCGGATTTACTCAAAACCCAACCACCAATGAATATATGATCGTATTTGATGAGTTTTATTATAAAAGATCTTCTGATAATGGGCAATGCACACAATGTGATAAATACAACACTTCTCCAGCTTGGTGCCAAACATGTGATCCCCCAAGAACAACAGAAGAGTGGACAAGTGGAAATAACGATATCGATGATTATATTAAAATATTTCAACTTAAGGCTACAAGATACGATGAGACTATTGAGTGGATTCCATTTAATAAATTTAAATACATGCAAAAAATTAATGAAGAAGGCTTAAATATAAAATTTTTAGCAGTCTGGATAGATGGCATACGAATAGTTTCTAAGGCTGATGGGAAATGCATACAATCACGTACACCACAGTCTATTGTTAGCCTAAAGACTTTTTTCGGTTCACAAATAAATTCTAATTTTTTAAAAGATGTAGGTTTAAGCTAGTATTTTATATATTTTATTTTACAAGTATATTATATAAGTTCTATTAATTTATTTTTGACGTTGAAACATTTATAGTTAATTGATGATTGTAAATTATACGGGATTACTCAAAACCCATCCACTCATGAATATATGATCGTGTTTGATGAGTTTTATTATAAAAGATCTTACAATAATGGGAAATGTGTGCAATGTGAGAAAGGTAATACTTCTCTGGCTTGGTGCCAAACGTGTGATCCACTAATAACAACACAAGAGTGGACAATCGAAAATAAAGATATCGAAGATTATATTAAAAAATCTCAACTTGAAGCTACAAGACATGATATGGTTATTGAATGGATTCCATTTAATAAATTAGAAAATATACAGAAAATTAATAGAGACACGGATAGAAAATTTTCAGCAGTATGGATAGATGGGATACGAATAGTTTCTGAAGTTGATGGAAATCACATACAATCACGTACACCACCATATGCTGTTACACTTAAGACCTTTTCTACATTACAAATAAAATCTGATAATTTTTTAAATAAAGTAAGTTGACATCTTAATGTATATAATTAATACATTTTATTTGTATGCTTATATAATGATATTACATTTTTGAAGGTTAAAGAATATGCACAATCTACTAATAAGTATAAATTATTTGGATTTACTCAAGATCCATCCACCTGCGAATATATGATAGTATTTTTAGAGTATGAAAGAAATCCTTATAATGGAAAATGCTCATACTGTGATCAATACAACACATCACCGGCCTGGTGTCAAACGTGTGATCCTCCAAGAGCAATTCAAGGGTGGACAAGTGGAAATAACGACATCGATAATTACATTAAAGGGTTTCAACTCAAAGCTACAAAATATGATGAGACAATTGAGTGGATTCCAGTTGATAAATTGGAAAATATACGGAAAATTAGTGAAGACTTAAATGCAAAATCTTTAGCAGTCTGGGTTGATGGCATCCGATTAACTTCTGATAATGATGGACAATATATAAAATCACGTACATCACGAAGTATAGTTACACTTAAGATATTGCAAATGAATTCTGTTGATTTTTTAAATGAAGTAAGTTAATAATATTTATTGTACATTCATTTATGAGTGCCTTTAATATATTTATATAAATTCTATCATATTTTTAGGTTGAAGAATATGTACAGTCAACTAATGGATATCACAAAATAGTTGGACTTACTCAAAATATGTACACCAATGAATATATAATAGTATTTGATTATTTCTATTATAAAAGAAATTCTTGCAATGGAATATGCTTAAATTGTAACAGATACAATACTTCCCCATCCTGGTGTCAGACATGTGATTCCACAAGAATAGTACTAAGTGAAAATAACGACATCGATAATTATATTAAAAGATTTCGACTTAAATATAATGAAACTATTAAATGGATTCCATTTGATGAATTTGAAAAAATAAGAAAGATTAGAGAAGGAGACCTAAATACAGAATTTTTAGCAGTCTGGATAGACGGTATACAATTAACTCCTAATTACGATAGAAAATCTCGTACGCCAAGATGTATAGTCACGCTTAAAACTTTTTCCAGTTCACAAATAAATCCTATGAATTCTTTAGAGAAAGTTAGTTTAAGCTAAAATTTTAATATAACTTTATCAATGCATTTTATATATTAACGTAAATATTATAATATTTATTTTAAGGTTGAAGAATATTTACAGTCAAATAATAATTGCAAATTATTTGGATTTACTCAAGACCCATCCACCCAAGAATATATGATAGTGTGTGATGACAAATATGCATTTAAAAGAAATTCCAATTATGGAACATGTACAGATTGCAAGCGCTTTAACACTTCAAAAGCATGGTGTCAATCATGTGATCCTTGGAAAGCAGCTAAAGAATGGAAAAGTGGAAATAGGAATATTGATAATTGCATTAAAGAATTTCAATTTGAAGCCACAGAATATGAAAAAGTAATTGAATGGATTCCTTTTGAGAGATTTCATAATATTCAAGAGATTGCTCAGGGAGGATTTGGACATGTATTTTCAGCAACCTGGTTAGATGGTAAGCGAAAAATTATTTATGAAGGAGAGAAATATATACAATCACGTACCGAACCAAGTATAGTCGCTCTTAAAACTTTACCCGGTTCTCAAACAAGTCCTACAGAATTTTTACAAGAAGTAGGTTAATTGATTTTTGATTAAATTTGTTTATCTGATAAAAAATATTTACGCAAATTATTTTTTTAAGTTTAAAAATCACATGAAATGCAGATTGACAGGCACTAAACTTGAAATATATGGATTAACTCAAAATATTGCTACGGACCAATATTTAATGGTATTTCAGTATGTAAATAGTGGTAATCTCCGTCATTATTTGAGGTCAAACTTTTATAAACTTACATGGAAAGACAAATTATTACGAATAAAAGATATATCAAAGGATTTAAAACAAATTCATGAAGCAGGATATATTCATTGTGATTTTCATAGTGGTAATATTCTGCAAGATAAAGAGGAATTATGGCTTGAAAAAATAATAAAGTCATATATTGCAGATCTGGGTTTGTCTCGGAATAATAAAGAATCTACAGCAAAAGAAGGAATCTATGGAGTTTTGCCTTACGTTGCACCAGAAATTTTGTTAGGAAAAAAATTATACACAAGCAGCTGACATATATAGCTTTGGAGTTATTATGGCAGAAATAACTACTGGAATTCCACCATTTGATGGATATTTGTTTGATAAAGATTTAGCATTGAAAATTTGTGGTGGGTTAAGACCAAAATTTGCACCAGGAACTCCTGATATCTACATCAACTTAGCAGAATCGTGTATGAATTCAGACCCACAGAAACGGCCGATTGCTAAAGATCTTGATGATAAATTTTCAGATTGGTATGATTTTATGAATTAACAAGAAATGGATACGGACGACGAAATGGATACATTTGATGAATCAGAAGAATTAGATGAGAAATCAGAAATAAGTAATAAATTTTGGGAAGCTGATGAAATAATACAACAACTACCATTAGAAAAACAAAAAAATTTAGATAGTGTATATACAAGTCTGTTTATTGATGTTAAGCAAATTTCTCAACAATTCAGTGCAGAAGTTAAATCGGGCAATATAACAGGTAAATATATGCTTTGAAAAATTTAGAGAATATATTAATGTTTTTAAGGGCTAATTTACATTTATATTCATGCTTTAGATCCAGAGAGTATGAATCTATGTCTTTAAGGAC